GGATCAAGGAGTAACTTCTACTTTCAAGTCTTATTATTTAAGAAATACATTTTGTAAGGCTATAGCTGCCATAGATAGTGATTCTTCTGATGGATCTGGGCAAAGTAAATTGAAAATCTTCTGGAAAGGATTCACCACTCTAGATGTCATTAAGAACATTCGTGGTTCATGGGAAAAGGTCAAAATATCACCACTAACAGGAGCTTGGAAGTTGATTCCAGCCCTCATGGATGACTTCGAGGGGTTCAAGACTTCAGTGGAGGAAGTAACTGCAGATGTGGTGGAAACAGCAAGGGAACTAGAAGTGGAGCCTGAAGATGTGATTGAATTGCTGTAATTTCATGATAAAACTTTAACTGATGAGGAGTTGCTTCTTATGGATGAGCAAAGAAAGTGGTTTCCTGAGATGAAATCTACCCGATGAAGATGCTGTGAACATTGCTGAAATGACAACAAAGGATTTAGAATATTACATAAACTTAGTTGACAAAGCTGTGGCAGGGTTTGAGAGAACTGACTCCAGTTTTGAAAGAAGTTCTACTGTGGGTAAAATGCTATCAAACAGAGAAATGCTACAGAGAAATCTTTCATGAAAGAAAGAGTCAATCGATGTGGCTAACTTCACTGTTGTCTTATTTTAAGAAATTGCCACAGCCACCCCAATCTTCAGCAAGCACTACGCTGATCAGTCAGTAGCCATCCACATGGAGGCAAGACCTTCCACGAGCAAAAAGATTATGACTTGCTAAAGGCTCAGATGATGGTTCGCATTTTTTAGCAATAAAGTATTTTTTAATTAAGGTATGTACATTGTTTTTGACATAATGCTATTGCACACTTAGTAGACTACAGTATAGTGTAAACATAACTTTAATACACACCAGGAAACCAAAAAAATTCGTTTGACTTGCTTTATTGTGATATTTGCTTTGTTGTGGTGGTCTTGAACCGAACCCGCAATATCTCCAAGGTATGCCTGTAGTGATTATGAGCCACTGATTGATGTGAACATAATACACAAATAGAAAAAAGTGTGATATATGTCTAGGTTTAAAAAAACAGACACAACAGGTGAAAAAAGAAATGTCATCATCAGAAAAAAATTCCTAAAACATGCTTAAAAAAACAGTGAAAAAAGTATATTGTTTTATCCTTGAAAAGTTAAATTCTGCCAGAATATCCACCAATGATTCTGTTGAAGAAGCAGAGATCGCCCACAGAAACTGATGTGGTTGCAGAGGCAGCATGCTAATGGACTCAGGCCTTCTGGTTCTTTCTGACAATGATCTAATGTTTTACTGGATAACTGAGAGCTCAGGTTGTTTAAAATGCACTCTATCTTTAAGTTTTTACTGAAAGAGTAATATGCAGACAAAAAAGTATACACATCCTAAGTGCACAGCTTAATGAACAGTCACAAATTGAACACACCTGTGTAAACAGCATTCTGGGCAAGACACAGAACATCAGCAGCACCCCAGAATCCCCTCCCTTTATGCCCCCTTTGAGTCACTAGCCTAACCCAAGAGTAATACTAACATGATTTATAGAAATAGAATCATCCACTATGTACTATTTTGTAGCTGGCTTACTTCATTCAGCGTGATGCTTATGAAAGTCATCCATGATGGTGCACACAGTGGTAATCACACTTCCTCACTGCTGTGAAGGATTCCATTATAGGCACATACCACAACGCACCTGTTCATTCATCTACTGATGGGCAGAGTTTGCAGTCTGGGGCCATTAAGAACTGTACTGCTACAAATATTCAAAGGCG